AAATGATTTAAAAACTATTTAAACCCTAAAAATGATTTAAAAGCTATTTGAACCCTAAAAAAATGCTAATAAAATCTAGAAAAATCACAATAATTCCCAGAGGGACAAAATGAGCACCGAACGACACAAAAATAATCGGTAAAAATAAACGGGCACCGAAATATCCCAAAAATCGATTTTACTGATTAAAACTGATAAAAAACACCTGAAACACGAGACGAGAGCTGTGATCCCTGATAAAATCAAACAAAAATGAAACAATGCCCTGTATGCAATATGCAGATGCGAATGCGATTATGCGTCGAAACATAGGACCAAATACGAGACCCGGTTGGTCAAATTTTGGGGTGCAACAAACTTATATATGACTTTTAGGTTCTTGATCAGCAGTCGCAACAAGTCAGCAAGGGAAACATGCCTGAAACTTCCAAGGTGCCCAAAAAAAAGGTCGAGACAAAAAGAGCATTTGTTCCTCAATTTAGGATGTGCCTTGAAACATATGTAGGGACAACGGACGTGCCTGAGGGCGGCATCCGTCTAATACATATGGATCAAGGTATTTTCGGTTTTGAATATCCCGAAACACTTGCTAAGGAGGATTTCGACCAGGTTTTCAAACATTTAGAATTGGGCGTCGGGGTTATGCATTCCTACATCAGGTACTTCGATCCATTTTAATTAGATAATTGAACATTTTAAAATTCGCTCGTTTAACTGAATAATCTAATGTTGATTATATTTTTTTTAGGCTCTTGTATGACAAGTTGTTGGTCCCCGCTGATTTGACTTCAGTATTCGCATTCTTATCTGCTAGCAGTGTCAACTCACGGACAATAGACCAGACACCAGAAGCAGTCAAAGAGTACACAGTCCAGAGATTTATGGGTGCGAATACGAAGAAGTTGTTTATGTTGCCATATAATACTGGCCATGGGTTAGTTTTTATTCTAAATTCATTTATTATAATTGTTCGATTTTTGCCATATTATATAACATTTCCGTCTAAACTGTTGTCTTATTTTATAGTGGTCACTGGTTGTTGGTCGCAATTAATCCGATTAAAGAAATAGTGTATTATATAGATTCATTGGATGGCGATACAAACAAATATGAAAATCTGAAGAACATGGTTGATACGTAAGTGATGATATATAGTGTTATGAATAATTATATATGTTTATTTATTATGTGACATTGTTCTAAATATGTGTTTATATTATGTTAGAGTTATACAAATATACAGAGCACAGAGAGATGCAACAGTGCCAAAAAGCAGGGCTAGCAACATCAACTGGATCAGAGTGGAGGTATATTTTTCCATGTTTGACTGTTATAGTGGTTCTACTTATAAAACTATTTAAACTATATATCCTGATAAATGTTCGTTCGGTTTTTTCCTAATACAGTGTCCTCGTCAGCGTGGTGGGATTGACTGCGGATATTTTGTACTGCGCTTTATGAAGGAAATCATTCTTTCTGGTCAATTAGAGATTCCAATCATGGTATGGATCAATTCATGAGTTATATGATTCATTTTGATAATTAACTAATATTTCATCTGAGTAATTAGTATTAAATCGTGCTTGTTCTGTTATATTATGTAGTATTTTGATGAATTCAAATGCGCTACGTACTCGAAAGTAAAATTGGAAGAAATTAAGGAAGAATGGTGTCAATTTATGATTGAGTTAAGAATTCTGTTCCGGTATGGGCCCGACCTCGGCAGGCCCAATACCACGTACGGCCCAACAGGCGAATCGGGCACGCCGGGCACGTGCGTCCCGCAAGACGAGCAGAGCATGCCGCCGGACACAAGCAGCGCATCCAACAGCATCTCGTCGTCCCCTCTTACCAGCCGAACAGAACCGACCCCGGCGCACCAAAGCACGGCCTTGGTTCCTCCCCTCCGCGAGGAGAACAACGCGCTCCGGGGTACCTCCCGAGCTCCCCTCCACGGGGAGAACAACGCGCCCGGTGCACGTTCTCCACGTGCCTCCCCTCCGCGGGGACACGTCATCAACCAACTGCCCACCTCCGAAATAGCAGATCAAACCCACTTTCCGGAGATCTAGGAGCAGTTGGACTAGGGCGAAGACCACGTCCTGGTCTTCACTACGCCACGTAAGCCCTAGCAGTCATTAGGGTTGGGCTTGGTCATCCAGCCCATCTCAAATGACTGTTGGCCCAGCGCTGGGGTCTCTCTATAAATACCCTCTTCCTCAAGAGGGTCAGGTAATTCACATCTTGCCCTTTCTGTACTCTTGCTCCCGCTCTGCCCAATTTCTTACTTTGGCATCGGAGTGTCTTGCAGGTACACCCCCTTCTCCTCCTCATCACCGGTGAACAGGTAGCAGCCCAACAGCGTGTGGCCAGACCGTGATCCCCTCCTGATCAGGTCAGATCAAATTCTATAATGTATATTGGATTTGTAATTATATGTAAATTGTATATTGTATATTGTATATTGTATAATGTACAATGTTTAAATTATGTGTAAATTATACTTGAGTTAATTATGTGTAAATTGCAAAGTGTTATTGTATAATGTACAATGTTTAGTTATATTGTGTTGAATTAAAGACCAAGTGTTGAATTACAATGTTTAAAGGCCAAGTTATATTTAAGGCCTGAATTATAAGCAGGGAATTTAATTGTTATAAGCAGGTTTGTCTAAAAATATATAAAAAATGTGATTTTTCAAATTTTTTTTTTTTTAAAAACGTGAAGTATAGACAACGCTTTTACAAGAAAGCGCTGCTAAAGGGGAAAAAATAGGCATAAAAAAGCGCTGCTATAGGTTAGAAAAGGAGGAGTCTAAGAAAGCGCTTTAAAAAAGCGCTGCTAAAGGGTGGTCTACAAAGCGCTTTCATAAAGCGCTGCTAAAGGAGGGGAGGGGGAGGGAGAATAGGCAGCGCTTTGTAAAGCGCTGATAAAGGGGTAAAAAAGCGCTGCTAAAAGTGATGCCTTTAGCAGCGCTTTTTCCACAAAAAAAAGCGCTGCCTTTACCTTTAGCAGCGCCACTTTAGGCAGCGCTTTAAAGCGCTGCTAAAGGTCAAAAAAAGCGCTGCTAAAGGCCATTTTTGGCATAGTGAATGACTAATTAAGATACACCTGGGCTAAATTCATCTGTGAAAAGACTAATAAATTCAGTTTCTTTGAATGTCTATGCCAAAAGTTACATCGTGTAAAGGGAGAAGAAATTGGCAAGATCCTTCGTATTTGTAGTGATTGTGGCAGAGAATTTGAGAATAACTATGAGTTTTCTTCTCCCATCACACCTCAATAAAATGGCATGGTTAAAAGGAAGAACCGTACCTTGCAAGAAATGGCTAGAGTTATGATTCAGGCCAAACATCTTTTGTATCATTTTTGGGCAGAAGCAATGAATACAACTTGTCATATTCACAATTGAGTAACGACTCGAACAAGTAACAAGGTTACTCATTATTAACTAGAGAGGGTGAGGAAGCCATATGTTAAATATTTCCATGTATTTGGCAGTATTTTCTATATTCTTGCACTAAACAATGATTAGATGTGGAAGTAAAACAGGATATTAGAACTGATGTTAATGACATAGAGGGTGTCATTGTGACAGAAAAATGAGAATCTTATGATTGTTGAGATTTATGTTGACTTGTAAAATGGTAGATCATTTTGTTCAATATATGCAAGCTGAATTCGAGATGAGAACAGTAGGTGAACTTACATATTTTCTTGGTTTTCAAGTGAAGTAAATGAAGGATGACATCTTTATTTCCTAAATTAAACATTCTAGAAATATTGTGAAGAAATTTGGGCTAGAAAATGCCAGGCACAAAAGTACCTAGTGCCACTCATGTCAAGCTTTCTCAAAATAAACAAGGAGTGATTGTTGATCGAAGCCTCTATAGGATTATGATTGGTAGCCTCTTATATCTCAATTTCATTTTTATTGATATTACTTTCTCTGTTGGTGTGCGCGCTTACCATCAAGAAAATTTTAAGATTATCAATTTTACTCAAGTCAAATGTATCATTAAATACATAAATGGAACATATTCCCATGGGCTTTTATACTACTTCGATACAAACTCTTTACTGGTAGGATATTGTGATACTAATTGAGAAGATAATGTTGAAGGTAAGAAGATGCTCTTAAGTATGTTTGAACAGACAAACGATTATCTTATATATTCATTAAAGCTCTTGATGCTGTCCAATTCAAGAATCTTCGATCATCTTTAGACCTTTGCATTATTAACTTATAACAAATATCAAAAGTGTGGGTGAATGGTTTTTCTTGGGCCTACTGGTGCTTTTATTGGCCTATACATCTCAAAAATGATATTACTTGTATCTTTTAATCTAACAAGGAAAAGTTACTTTGCTTATATTTTCAAAAAGACCACATGTTTGAGTTTTCGCTTCAACGCTTCAATCCAATCTCCGACTCTTTAGTTTCCTGTCCAAAGTTCTTGAATCAATCTAAAAGCATGAAAATAACAAGAAAAAGGATGAACATTTATGTTAATGCAAAGAAAATCTTGAAGAAGAAAATTCATTAACAAGATGTTGTTGTTATTAAGGCTCATGGAGTTCGTGTGAAAGACCTAGTGGCTAGAGAAAAGGTTGATGGTAGTCTTGTAAGTATATAGTGCAATCTGAGACTAAAATTTCCTAAAGAAATAAAAATTAAGAACCTAAATGAAACATTAATAACTTAAGTCAAAACTGAATTTAAACCTTAATTCTACTTCTCCAAGCAATTGACCATAATAGTTATGTATGTAAATAACATAACACCCAAAATAATAATTGTATTTATTAATTCATGACAGTTACCAACTTAGGCATTAAAATAAAACATAATGTAAGATTACTATGGTTAAGTTAAGATGTGAATCAATCCTTAGTAATTAAATACTTCTAATATTTCTCTCCTATTTAGGGAACCAAACAAGGTAACTCGTAACATAAGTGTGACAAAAAAACATTATTTTCCGTTACACTTTATGTGTATGGATCTTGAGACAAAGTTTACAGAAAATTTCCACTTCAAACCCAACATGAAAAACCATGAGAATCTTTTCAGTGTTCCTTCATCTCAAGGATTCTTACAAGATTTTAATCACATTGATAAATTTAATCTGCATGGTACCTTCTTCAATCCTGGTTCCGGGGTCCAAAACTTTGATCCTAGTGATAACTTTTCATTTGTTGATAATGAATTCAAGCCATTTGTGGAGAATAATAGTGGTAATGGTCATGCTTTTGTCATGGATAATTTTCTTCATGGAGGTTATGGCTTGAACAATCTTTCTCAGAAGAATAATCAAGTCGAAACGATGGTTACAAACCAAAGTAACTATTTTCCCTTTAATATTAATATTCCTCAAGAAACAAAGCCTTTGAACTTTGTTGCACCAGATGAAGTTTCATGCACTCCTTCAATGAAATTTTACAAAAGATTTGGCATCAACAGAAACACCAAAGGATATCCTATCTCTAGAAGATATCGTAAGAATTCCAACGTTGTTAAAGGACAATGGACAGTAGAAGAAGATGGGTACGTTACGTACGTAAAAATATGAAAACTTTTTTTTCTCTCTTCTTTATAGATTAGTTATTATTTTTTACGTGCATGCGAAAACAAAAACAGGTTGTTGATTCAGCTAGTTGAAGAAAATGGTTTGAGAAAATGGTCTCGCATTGCTCAGATGTTGCCCGGTAGAATCGGAAAACAATGTCGAGAGCGATGGCATAATCATTTAAGGCCTGATATTAAGGTACATTACATATTTATTTATCATAAGTTTTCTTTCTATATTCCGTTATATACAGTTAAAATCTATGAAACACAAATTCAGACATACAGACACACAGACACTGATACAACATTGAGTAATAATTTAAAATATATTGAACATAATAAAATGTGTCAGTCTAGTGTATGTGTCGGATCCTGACACGTTGATATGTTTCTTATTGAAGAAGGACATATGGAGTGAGGAAGAGGATAGAATATTGATCAAAGCTCATGGAGAGATAGGAAACAAATGGGCAGAGATAGCTAAGAAATTACCAGGAAGAACTGAAAACTCAATCAAAAACCATTGGAATGCAACAAAGAGACGACAATATTCGAAAAGAAAGTGTCGTTTGAAAAACCCTAGAGGAAATCTTCTACAAGAATATATCAAAAGCTTGAACTTAGACAAAAACCCTCCAAAAGATTATAGAAGAAAATCTTCAACTAGTGTTATGAAAAACAATACCAACAAAGACACAACAATAACAATAACAACAACAGCTCAGTCTCAGTCTCAGAAAGCTGAACAGTTTCGTCCAAATGATCATGAGTGTTTGGTACCAAGTTGTGGTTTTGATGATGTTCCGGATTTTTGTTTTGATGAGAGTTTGTTTCAAGGTGGGTGTAGTATTGATTCTCTGCTGAATGATGTGCAAATTATGGAAGGAAAAAAACATTGTGATGCTGAGAAAGAGGTTATGGATTCTATGTTTGGAGTTGAAGTTAAGAAGGAGATGGATTTGATTGACATGGTTTTTTCATGTCAATGAAATTATATTTTTGGTATTAATTTATAGTATTAATATATTATTTATTATTATGATTACTATTATACATATATGTTTTAAATATGAATTGTAATTGGTTTATGATTTTTGTTTGAGGGGGAGAAATACATTTCTATATATTATAAAGTGATTTGCATGATAGAAAATAAGAATGACATTATGTTTGATTTTTGGATGAATTTGAAATAATTTATTTACACTTTATTTGGACTTATATTAAGTTATAAAATTATCAAAATGTGCTTATAATAATGAAGAGAAATATTATTTAATAAGTGCTTACTTATTCTTTTTGAAAGGGAATGCTTAATTAAGTTGTTAATTTAAAACACACTATAGTTGTCTCAAGAGACATGATATCAGTATATTATGTGTTTTATATTAGGAGAACATGAGTTTTTTTGAATCACAATATTTCTTTAGGTTTCTATTATTATGCTGGTTTTGATTGAATTTTATGAAAGAGTGTACTTTTTACCACTAACACCAAAAATTATGCACTTGAAATGTAAAATTATATTTCTTTCATAAACCATTGTCCATTTTATTTTTAAAGTGAAGAAAGATGACATACATTGAATGGTTTTAAATTTTTGAGAGAGAAATTTGACATCTATAATAATCTTTTTTTTATAATCTTTTTTATAATCTTTCTTAATTAAGAAATTAGATTATGTATTTGTTGTTGAAGATAGAAAACCAAGTAATTTAAGTGTGGTAATCGGTTAATATGGAACTGTAACCGGTTACAGTTGGACGAAAAGTATTTTTAGACAAGGAAAAGACAGATTTTGGAGTTGTGTTAATCGGTTAATCAAATGCGTTAACCAGTTACACCTGATTGTATATATTTTAGTATTGTCAGCTGTAATCGGTTAACATTTTGTGTTAATCGGCTACTGCCCTAAGTTTTTGCTTTTTTATATTTTGTTGATGTGTTTTTAGTCTCAATCATTTTGCAACACTTGTATAAATGCCTTGTAGGTATCCTCATCTTTGATTAATGCAATATTCACTTTTCACTCTAAATTCTCTCTCTCTCTCTCTCTCTCTCTCTCTCTCTCTCTCACACACACACACACACACACACACACACACACACACACATATAATTATTCTCTTTCACTATCCACATTTCAATTTTCTTCACCATTATTCACTAACCTAGTGGTTCAAAGTTCCAACATTTAGCATCAAGAGTCTGGTTATGATCCGCAAACACCTAGTGTGCAAAATGAATCTGTTTCTAATGAAAGAATCCCTGGAAATATACATATCATTGATGCGAAAAATTATGATAAATGTGGCAAGCAAATGAAGGTGTTGTTTGACTATCAAGATGTGTTTGAAGTGATCAAGAATGGGGTGAATCATCTTGTTGAAGGTGCAACGGCTGCATAACAAGCAATGCATAAGAAAGAGAAGAAGAAAGATTTTAAGACGCTGTTTTTTATCCATCAATGTGTTGATGGTGATAACTTTGAGAAAGTTGGTGATTGCGAATCACCAAAGCAAGCGTGGGAGATCTTAGAGAAAGCCTATATAGGGGTTGGCAAGGCAAAGGCGTTGAGGTTACAAACTCACAAGCATCAACTCGAATTGATTCAAATGGAAGAAAATGAGTCAATCAATGAATTCACAACAAGAATAACCAGCTTAGTGAATCAAGTAAAGGCATCCGAAGAAACTATCATGGAGCAGTACGTTGTCGAGAAAATCTTGTATTCTTTAACACCAAGATTTGTCAATGTAGTTATGGCGATTGAGAAATCAAAGAATCTTGCAACAATGGGCAAAGAGGGACCGAAAAGCTCTCTTGAGACTCTTGAGAAAATGATGGAGGAGAGGAATAATGATAAGGCAAATGCAGAGATCGCTTTACAAGCTCGCTTAAACGAGAAGGACAAGAGTTTGAAAGGAAAATGGCCTATGAAGAGTAAAGGGAATTTTCAAAATTTTGGTGGAAGAGAGTCCTAAAATTCTAAGAATTCGACTTGTCAAAGGGGTGAGAGCAGCTGCAACGAAAATGGTAGTCAAAGAAACTTTAGGGGTGAAAAGAAGTGGTTTTGCAAAAGTAAATAGAAGTTCTTTATGTGTCAAAGGTTTAGTCATTTTGCAAGAGAGTGCAATGTGAACAAGAAGGAACCTCAAGGAGATGAAGCCTAGGTTAGCAGAAAAGAGTTTTATGAAGAGAACACACTATTGGTCATGATCACGGGAGAAGAATGCAACAACAACGGGATGTGGGATAGCAGTAAGAATAATTCAAGGAATTTTGTAAAATTGAGTTATAATCGATTACATGCTGAAGAAAATGCCATGATGAGTAGGAAAGAAGTTCAATGCAGCGAGGAATGATACTTAGACTCAGTTATTCAACTCATATGACGAGAATGAAGGATTGGTTTATCAAAATAAATCGTTCCATGAAGAACAAAGTGAAGTTCGCGAATGACATCACTCTAGTGGCTGATGGGATAAATGATGTTTTGATCGTGAGAAGGGGTGGTGGACATTCCTTGGTCAAATATGTCTTGTAAATTCCAAGAATAAAATGTAACCTTCTAAGTATTGCCCAATTACTTGAGAAGAGTTACAAGATTCACATAGAAAATAAGGGGTTGTGCGTTATGGATGCAAATGGAGTTTTGGTCCTTATAACACCTATGGATGCCAATAGAACCTTCAAGGTTGAACTGAAGGTTATGAAGCATAAATGTCTTACTACTGCATCAACTAGAGAAGACTGGATATGACATTATCGTCTTGGGCATCTCAATTTTAGAGATCTCAAAGACTTGGAAAAGAACGAAATGATTACGGGGTTGCCATTGATCAACATACCAGCTAAAATTTATGAAGAATGTGTGCAAGTGAAGAAACATAAGGGTAAATTCAGCAAGGGTCCATATCGTAGAACCAAGAATCATCTTGAGGTGCTGTATTCGGATGTGTGTGGGCCGATGCAAGTAGATTCCATTGGTGGAAATATGTACTTTATCACATTTATCGACGATTGTAGTAGAAAGGTATGGACATACCTAATCAAGAGAAAGAATGAGGTATTTTAAGTGTTCAAGAAGTTCAAGTTCATGGTTGAGAGGCAAAGTGGTAACAAACTCAAAGTGCTCAAAACGGATGGTGGAGGCGAATATGTTTCAAATGACTTTGAGAAGTTTTGTGATCAAGAAGGGATCGTACATGAGGTAGTACCACCTTATACACCAAAACAAAATGGTGTAGCCGAAAGGAAGAATCGATCCATCCTGGATATGGTGAGAAGCATATTAAAGGGGAAGAACTTGCCGAAAGATTTATGGGGAGATGCATTATCCATAACTTCCTATTTTTTGAATAGGTGTCCTACAAAGAAGCATAAGAATGTAACACCCGAGGAAGCATGGTCGGGATTCAAATCAAATTTGAACCATTTAAGAGTTTTTGCTCCGTAGCATATTGGCATGTTCTGGGACAACTTAGAAAGAAGTTTGATGATAAGGGAAAAGTGATGATACTTGTAGGGTATCACTCAACTGGTGGTTAAAAATTGTTTGATGCTGCAAACAAGAGGATCGTGATCAGTGTGGACGTTATGGTCTATGAATTGAAGCAAGTGGAGTAATCATTAACCAGTTTCAAGCAGTCGTTAACCGGTTACAGCTTTGAACTTCTAGGATTTGCAGAAATGGGAAGTGCAGAACAACCCGTTGTCGAAGCCCAAAATGAGGAAAATGTTTGAAGATCAACGAAAAAGAGGTTTGTCTCAAAGACTCCATGATTGTTAGCTGTTCTGAGACAACAAAGTTAATGATGATGGTGATTTCGTCCATTTTGCACTTATGGCCGAATTCGATCCTGTTAAAATGGAAGAGGCTTTAAGTGACACAAAGTTGATTTGTGTTATAAAGGAGGAGCTGGAATGCATTGAGAAGAACGATACTTGGGAGTTGGTTGATCTATCAGATAAAAATAAACCAATTAGTGTGAAATGGATGTTCAAAATGAATGCATATCCAAAGGGTGATAGAACCAAGCATATGGCTCGATTGGTTGCTAAGGGATTTTTGCAAAGTGAAGGTATAGACTTTGAAGAGATATTTATACCAGTTTCTAGGATTGAAACCATTAGACTTGTTGTTGGTATTTTTAATAACCACAATTGATCCATCTACCAAATGGACGCCAAATCTGCGTTTTTGAAAGGAGAGCTTGAGGAAGAGGTATATGTAGAACATCCCCATAGTTTTGTTGTCAGAAACCAAGAGTCAAAGTTCTACAAGTTGAAGAAAGCGTTATATGGTTTGAAGCAAGCTTCTAGAGCTTGGAACAAAATAATTGATGGTTTCCTTAAGAAGGCCAGCTTCAAGAAATGTGTATCCGACCATGGAGTGTATGTGAAGTCGGATACAAGGAAAATAGTGATTTTCCTTTGTCTATATGTAGACGAATTATTGATAACAGGCAACATCAAAAAGTGCATTTCAAAGTTCAAGAGTGAACTTATGAAATAGTTTTAGATGACCGACCTTGGCCTTACAGCATACTTCCCTGGCATTAAGTTCCACAAGTCCAAAAGGGGGCTGCTCATGCACCAAAGAATGTATGCTCTTGAGATATTGAAGGAGTTTGAAATGGAGCATTATAATGCTGCCATTACTCCAGCTGAACCTAAGGCGGAGTTGTATAAGAATGAGGATGAGCAAGATGTTGATCCAACTCAATATAGTAGGTTGACTGTATCCTTGTGTTACCTGTGAAATACGCGACTGGACTTAGCGTTTAGTGTCGGTATTGTGAGTATATTCATGGGGAGACCAAATTGTGAGTAGGATCCTAAGATATGTAAAAGTTTCTGTTGGCTACGAAATTATCTTTCCCGCAGCGGATACAAACAGAAAATGCAAGTTGCTCAGTTTTACCGACTCCAATTGGTGCAGAGATAAAGATGATTGAAAGTCTACATCTGGATACATCTTTATGTT